GACCCCCTGAACCCCTGAACCCCTGAACCCCTAAACCCCTAAACCCTAAACCCTAAACCCTAAACCCTAAACCCTAAACCCTAAACCCTAAACCCTAACACCCTAAATTACTAAACCTTAAACAATAATTTCCTAAACCCTTTTAAACCCTAAACCCTAAACAGCTGGCCATCCGAAGGACGGAGGCCTTATCCGCCGGGAGATCTTCGAGGACCCGGCTTCGGGGGTTCAGGATGTTAGGATTTACCACCGTTAAGGTTTAGGGTTTAGGGTTACCAGGGTTACCAGGGTTACCAGGGTTTAGGGTTTAGGGTTTAGGGTTTAGGGTTTAGGGGTTTAGGGGTTTAGGGGTTTAGGGTTTAGGATTTCGGGTGTTGGGTTAGGGTTCAGGGTGTAGGGTTCAGGGTTTAAAGTATCGGGTTCAGGGTGGATCAGTGAGTCTGCATGCTCGAGCTTACCTAGGATAGAGGCTTACAGGGTTTTCAAAAAGGGTGTTCTCAGCTTTGCATATGGTTGCATACGGGTTTCATCAGGGTGGCTTGGGTTTGCTGGTTTGAAATTCGGAGTTTGGGGTGCAGTTTTTTGCGGGGTTGGGGTTCATTGAACCCAGAAAATTGGGTAGCATGGTCTTCAATACAAAGGCCACGCAAAGACTGTCGTTGCAGAGGCCCTGACGGTAACTTACCCGGCTCTCCTGGCGTATGCTCTCATTGGCGTGTCGCCTTGTCGCAAAGCTCGCATGATGACTTATCTCAGAGTGCAATGGAGCCTGCATCTGTGAGTGGGCGATGCTTAAACTTCAAGGAAATGTCCTGAGAAGCTTGCTTCTTGCTGGAACCTGGAAGAACCATAGCTTCTCTTGAAATGTCTGCAAAGTTGAAGGATTTGAGCTAGCTTCGCTGCGCTTCCGTGTTAGCCATGGTTTGTCCCACGTCGTGCGTCTTGCAGCTTGAGGTCGTGCATGGCAGCTTTGATGCGGTGTGCAGGTGCTTGCGAGTCTTCCTGTCGGGGCGGCCATCGAAGTTGCTGTGCTTGGGATGCCCCGGTATCTTGGGGTGTGACCGGAGTTTGAACAGCTGCGACGGCGTGTTCTCGTGTGCTGTCGTATGGGTAGTTCTCGAAATTAGGATCCCTTTGGGGGTCCTTTTTATAAGGGTGCCATACTGGGCCATACTATATTGGGGACCTAAAAAGGGACCCTAATTTTTTGCTGCA